CATTCATTAGCACTAGTTTATTCGACAAATTGATTGACGGTGCCTGTTGTAAAGTAGAGTAAAGTTAAATAAAATAATTTCAAGTAAATATAACAGCCAAAAGTTTACCAACTCATAAATATGGATAGAGGAAGAGTGAAAAAAACAGTCTTATGGGTGATGTGCAAAGTTTGCTCCAATGTCAATGACGATGTGGCGTGACACTGTTGAAAAATGCACAGATACGACTATCCATAGACCTGCTGATGTGCTTGAAGAAGCGGCCAACGATCGTGCCTTCGGAGATGTTCATACAATATAGACGACTGTGAGGATGACGATGCGTCGTATTTGGTCCTTAAGGAATTTTCCTTAAACGTTTTTTACCATATTTTCGAATCATCTGGTTTCATGCTATACTGTTATTCTTGTACAGTACATTCTGCAACTGCTGAACCTTATTCATCTTCTTTGGCCAGATGAGCATCTTTTGTTTGTGTTTTGTCTCTGCATTGTTGTACATTTTCATTCGGAAGTAAACTGGCATGGCGTCATTTTCTCAGGCTGCCGAGGTTGTTTTTTCAGCCTTTCTGTTCTGATATTTCCGGTGTCGATAATGTGATTCAGATCTCATTTACAACGTAGGGTATAAGCCTAACCTCGTTGGAGAACCTGGATGAGTTTGAGAGTCCAATTGAAAGGTCCCAGGAACTAACACAAAGCGGTTTATTTATACACAGCGTATGCTGATTGGTCAGTCAGGTGATTAACCATTACCGCCTTTTCGGCCCAGGCAGACGGACGGGTTGAATTCGCAAGTTTTTTGTCGTTCGCAGCAGTTCATTTACGTTTATAGCTAAAGGACCAGAAAGATCACCCTGTCCGAGGAACCTCTCCTCTCAGACACAGTATAGGATTGTCCAGTATATTTTGGGTATTAACCTTCAAAACTGTATTCGGTAATATTTCAAGAACTGGACAGATTTTCGGTTTGTTATAAACAAAAATGCTCATGATAGTCTGTCTTTACTTGCAAATGTTTGGAAGGACTCTTTGAACAGTGGAACAAGAAGCTGAAGATTTGTGTCTTGGATTTTGCTAATATCTGTCGTTCCTGGGCTGTTTCTTAACTGTTGCCATACATACATACATACACACCTATATACGTTTCAGTTTTTCACATCACGACACAGCTAGACAAATGTTCTGTCATGTTTTTAGATATATTACTTCACAGCAATAGTGCTGAATCTATCAACCTTTCATTGTGCGTACATACCATACGGTGATGATCACTAATTATCGTATCACTGTTTAGTTTAAAGTTTTTATTGTATTTCACTGATAAATTAGTGGTGTTTAGATATTTTGAATGACGATGTGGGTTGTAATTGAACTAATTTGTCAACCAGTTAGTGCCAGTAAGTAGTCAAAAATGATCTCTGATCATTTTTTGTTCCTCTTGCCATAGAAACATATGACTGATTGTTAGTTAAATGAATTTGCGCTGTTTTCGATTGCTTTAGCCGGCTTTGTATGTAACCTGAATAATTTTTTTCCCGGAGTTTTTAATTTGCGCCCAAAATCGTTACTGTTTATTTCACAAATGAATAAGACAGACGGGTGATGGCTAACGAATGGCTTCTACGCTAATCGGTGTGCCATGCATGCATTCAGATTTATAATTGACTGACGGAGATCACGTTGATTATAGTAGAAATCAAAATTAGGCTTTTGGCAGGGCCGATATATGATTGAAATATGAACATATGAAAATAATGCATTTATGGATTAATTTATGTGCCACGAATGTTATTATATTTGTGATACATGTTGTAGCTTGCATCTTCGTGGTTTCGGCTGCTGTTAGCATTGGTGTAGCTAACTCGTTAATGACGTCCGGAAGCCATGTCGCTGGTTTCCGTCGATCACCATTTGTACCCGTACCCATCGCTGGCTCAGATAGCACTTCGACTTCGTCTGTGGCAACGTCGATGTCACACCAGATTTTGATTCGTAATTCGCCTTCCTCTAGACTGATACCATATAAGAGTCGACAAGGCGTTCATTATAACTAAAGTGTCGTAGAAAATAAGAAGTTTATCTCAAACTATTGGCGATCCCTTTGTCCAGAAATGGTTTTGGAGCGAAGTTCATGATAATGATGATACTCATGTAGATCCTGCATATAATTCATTAAGTGACGATGCAAATATTGTAGTGTCAAAAGTGGTTCATCCAGTTAGCCTGTGGCACTGAGGTT